AAAAAAAAAAAAAACTGTATCAAAGAATTCAGTTCATACCTATGTAACAGCTTTCTCTGTTCAAAACACCAATATTCTATAATGGACCAGCAGATCAATAAACTGAATGCTAGCCATACTTGTTAATGAATTTAGAAAACATATTTGCCTTATTTTGAAATTAGCTTTTTTCTCGAAAGGAATTTAAAAGTACAATTTCTATAAAAATTAAAATATGGTGTCTTTAGAAAATTGGTAAAGAATAAAAAAGCAACGATATTTAGTGGTGGCTAAAGGATGTGAGTCTTTAGGAGTGCCAGTTGATTAAAAAAAACCAGTAAGTAAAATACACTAATAACTTAAATATAAAATTTATGCTGTTTGAACCTGTAGTTTCACCTCTAGGAATTTATTCTAAAGAAAACCTGAACAAGTGACTAAAATTTATGACACTATAAAAACTCTATTTAATTCACACTTGTAACTAGCTTTAATGGTATTTTCTCATATATAGTTTGAGGTCAGACAGAACTCATATAGAAAACAATAATGAACACACTGCAATGCAAAAACAAAAAGATAATCTGAGTTACACTCTCTTACCAGTTATTATTATTTTATTAATGAAGTAGAAAAGTAGAATAATGAACAAGTAACTATAAACTCTACAAGCAGAAAACACTATCCTGAATAAGACAAAGAAACTAAATATAAAATACCTTTGTACTCGATCTCTGATTAGGGTCTTCTCTGGACTGCAGAAGTCCTGCACCAATGGAAGGTAACTGTGTCTGAAATACAGACACACGGCCACCTGTTGGAGACATTAATTTAAAGGCAGCCTGAAGCGCAGGACCAAGGGCACTGTGTGTTTCTCTTGTATTGGTGAACATATTTGGTAATGCATTCAATAAGTCTTTTATAAGCTGGGAAAACAAAGATTAAAAGTTGAATTACTGAGAAGCCAAGGCAACATTTTTCTTTAGAACATTCCAGAGTGCAGTTATGTGCCACTGCAGGTTATTCTGGGGAACTGTAGCTGAGGAATCAATAGATACGCTACTGACATTGTCTATTGTTTTCAATATTAACTGCCATATTTATATATCAAGTAAACAAATGTTAAATATTTTAGCAGACAGCTGAAATAACAAATATTTTGATACTTTAAGAAAAGAAAACCAATCTCACCTCTTTGCTTTCATATAGATTCACAAGTAAGCTATCTGGTGGTGTAGGCAAGAAAACATCTATGGGGAAAAATATATTTTAATCAATAAATAAAGTCAAAAGAACAAATGAAAAAATCTTAGTTTTTAACCAGATCACATGCTATATCAAATATATATACTCTGTATATGTTATATATATATGTGTCTGTGGTGTGTGTATGTGTATACACACACAGATGTAAAAAACTTAAAATCAAATATTTTACAGGAATACAATTATTTTAAAATGAATACCAGAGTGTACCAAATTATCCTCACAACATATGACACGGTGTATTATAAAATAAAGCAGCCCCAATTCCAAAGTCTATAGTTAGAAAGACTTGCTTTGCTCACTTCTTACCATCTATATCAGACACAATCAACATCTGAGGCTGTGATAATCCTTCCTGTAAGTTGTAGAAATGAATAGTGCTATCAAAGGTCATGAATCCTATTCTTGTTCTTGAATCTCCAGGAAGCCTAAAGAAGAGCAAGGATGAAACATTCCATTTTCAGATGAAACCATTTACATGTTTAAAATTCATTCAAACTTTAGAAAACTGAACTACGTCAATATTCAAATAAGAATGAATCAAAACTAAAAATGAAATGATTAAAGAAACAATTAGAGGATTCTTGCTATCTTTCCTTAGAAACACATTTTTTAAAGTGAAAAGTTACTCATACTTTTAGTTCCCACATTACAACAGTATATCTTGTTTAAGCATCTAAAGGACAGAATGACAAATGAGTCCTTTGCAAGAAAGACTGAATATAATGCAAATCAGATTTTAATGTGTAAATTTTTAAATAAAAACAAAAAAAACCCAAACCCGCTGCTGCTGAATCAATTCCGACTCATAGCAACCTTACAAGACAGATTAAAACAGCCCCATAGGGTTTCCAAGGAGTACCCGGTGGATTCGAACTACTGATCCTTTGGTTAGCAGCTGCAGCACTTAACCACAACGCCACCAGGGTTTCCAAATTTTTAAATAAAAATCACATTTAAGGATATCAAAACATTTTATCTATCATCAATCTTCTAAAACTCACTATTTCGTTGCCTGTCAAACTTACCTTACCAATAACAAATGGATGCCTTATGTCATGGTTTGAATAATGTCCCCCCAAAAATGTGTATATTGGTTTGGCTGGGCCATGATTCCTGGTACTGTGTGATTTTCCTGTATGTTGTAAATCCTGCCTCTATGATGTTAATGAGGGAGGATGGGTGGCAGTTGTGTTAGTAAGGCAGGACCTGATCTACAAGACTGGATTGTGTCCTGAGGCAATCTCTTGAGATATAAAAGACACAAGTGAGCAGTGAGACAGGGGGACCTCAAACCATCAAGAAAGCAGTGCCGGAAGCAGAACATGTCCTTTGGAGCCAGGTCCCTGCGAGAAGCTCCTAGTCCAGGGGAACACTGATGAGAAGGCCGACAGAGAGAGAAAGACTTCCCCTGGAGCTGACGCCCTGAATTTGGACTTTTAGCCTACTCTGACTGTTAGGAAATAAACTTCTCTTCGTTAAAACCATCCACTTGTGGTGTTTCTGTTATAGCAGCACTAGATGACTAAGACACCTTACATGAATGTATATCCGAGAACCGCCAACTATGTTAACTTCACTTACATAATTTATTTTTTAGCAAAGGCTGTAAAATGTTTCTGAATATTAAAGGATGTCAACCTAGAACATGTACCTAAGCAACAGGCATTATTAACTGTTATGCGTGATAGATCAGGCTGCTCAGATAGCCCCCACGCTAGGTCAGAAAGCATTTCAGAGAACAGAATGAAACAAACCAGGTGTTTGTTCAGCTTACCAATACTGGTCAAGACATAGAATGTTACTATAAACTAATCCACAGTTCTCTGAGATTTCTAAGGTCAATAAGGGCTGTTTGTTACCCATTACAGTCGAGACAACTGGCCTACCCCAAGCTCAAAATACAGAGATGAGCTAGAACTGCTCCAGCATCAAACTCCTCTTTCTCAAAGATACTTCCAGAGTCCTTCCCAAAAACATGTTACTTTGTTATTGTTATCCTATCACATATATTTATTTTTATTGTGGTGAAAATATATATAACAAAGCATATGCCATCTCAATAACTAACACATTTACTTTTAAACTTTTCCCAATGCTTCTATTTTCTACTGCAATCAAACGAACATTTTTAAAAAACTGTTTTCCATTACCAATTTTATCTGTTTGGTTTTGGGTAATCTATTTAATTTGCAAATAGTCGCTCATCCCTGTGTAATCTGTCACCGTGTTCCTATTTCTGGGGTCCTATCCTCACAGTTTTCAGCAAGCTAACTCTTCAGAGTCTCAAAACGCGTTTCTCTGCAGAGTGGTCCTCCGCTGTCACTCACCACTAAAGCTATTTCTGAAGTAAGCAGCCATGACTAAGATAAGGTTAAATACTTTGACCAAGAGGAAAAATATAAAAAAACACTAAGTTACTAACAGAAACTAAAAGCAAATCATTCAATATCTCTGGATATTTTTATCTTGAATGAAATGTTATGTTTTATTCACAGGCCAACATCAGTAAGTAGACTATGGGGACTAGAACAGCATTCAAAAGAACAAGGCCTCTCAAACTCAAATGGGAGATGGGGGAGAACCTTCCAGAATCACCTAGAATACTTCTGAAATCTCTACACATGTCAAAAACCACTGTAGTACTGAACCACTCTTACTGACAATCTTAAAGCATATCTCTTGTGAGTGCCAGACTAAAAAAAGAAATGTACAGACAACTTTGTTTTTCAGAGATTTGGAAGCTTCATTTATAAACCTAGCTGAAGCACTCCTTCATGGATGAAATTGGCAGACACACAGGCAGGAATCAGAGCTAGGTACCCACCTGCCCATCCTCTATTCTGTTCCCACTTCCACAATACAGCTCATTATTAATGTGCCAAATGAAAAGCTCAATTTCTGGCTTCCTGAAATATTCAGACAAAACGAATTACCTTCTTCCCTTTATCTTACTCATTTAGCACAATTAAAACTAGGATATGAGAAACTTCCTTGCTCAGGCATAAATTACAGCTAGGTTTCTCATCCAGATTCTGATGCTTGGGTGAACCTGGCCAAATCAAACTTTCTGCGCCCCAGCATTCAGAGCTAGAGCAGCTAAGTCATAGGGATAGTCAGACAAGACCTAAATTCTTTACTAAATATTATGATTTTATGATTCAGATGTTCAGTGGTTAAGTCATAAAATAATCCAAGTATTACATAGTAGGCAGAAAATAGTCTTTTAATTCACAGATAAATGTAATCAAACTTAATCAAAACCAATCCGATAACTTCACATTTATACACACACACACACACACAAACGAGTTAAAAAAAAGTCTTACTTGTCTAGATTTTCTAACAGTGACTGGCACAAAACTGTCAAATATCCAGCTTCCACTGCATTATGAGACACGTCTAAAACAAACAAGTACACTGCAGGCTGAGGAGGACGGAGCTGAAAGGAATGAAAACAATGGAACTCATTTGGCTGGTACAGTTTGTTCGTTTTGTATTACTACTGACATTCACTGAGTGTACTGCACAAAAAAGTATATACACAAACAGGGCGGATGTTGTGTAAGATCGCATGTGCTCGTGAAAACGGCACTCCTTTCTTTCACATTTTTCCTTGTGAAGTTGGTTGTGGACGAAACATGATTAGACAGTCATCACGCATTAAGGGTGAAATAGAGGGGCTAAAAGTTTTCCTGGTAAGGACTGCTGGCTCAGATACCTTTTAAAGAAAAATTGGGCTTGTGTATTATTTAATACTGAGTTCTATACCCCTTCCCTACTCCTAAAAGCATATGTTTTAAAATACATTTTTTAAAAATAAATATTAACCTGACAATTTGTGACGAGTACTAGCTATCAGGTCACCTGGTAGAGGCTGAATCCCAAGGGCTAAGTATAAAGAAAGCCATTTCAGTTTGGAAATGGTATCTCAAAACAAACGAAGGTTGTGAGGGACTGATGATAGCTTAAAAGAGACTTGAAGAGACATAAATAGATATAATGTGGCGGCACTGAATGAATCTTAATGCAAATGAACCAAGAGGAAAAAAAACACTTCTGAGACAATCAGGGTAATCTGAACACATACTGGACATTAGGTGACATTAAAAAATTACTGTTAATTTTGTTGGTTGTGATGGTATTATACGTATGGTTTTAAAAATGATACGATGTCTAGGATTAGCATTTAATAAACTCCAGGGTAGGTGAGGGAAAGGGGAGACTGGGGCGGGCTGGTGAACAGATAAAACATATTTGGCAAAATGTTGATAACTGTTGAAGCATGGTGATAGGTAAAAAGGGCTTATTATACTATTTTCTCTTTTTTGGGATATGCTTGAATATTCTGTTACAGAAGTTAATATAAAAGAATTTATAAAGTCTTTTTTTAAAAAATATGCCAAGGGTCATATAGGGTCAAATGCCACTTCAATTAGATTAAGACTCCTGAGGAGCTGAGATAGAGTGGGAACGTAAGTTATAATGGCAAAAAGTTGAGAATAACAGTATTAGAGTAGTCAAGAGAGAGTTTATTACAGTTAATATGGAAGTAGACAAGAAAACAGTACTTCAGTGGGCATGCGCTAAATTAGACACCGGGCCATAAAAATAACAAACAATATATAAAGAAATGGCTAAGCACTAGGAACTTCATACACATCGGCTGTTCCAGGCCACCTTTTTCAACTAGCAGCACTTTAAATGTTTACAGACAACAAAGAGTAAAAATGAGGACACAGAAGAGATATAGTTATTATAACACATTAAAAATGAGTAGATATGATAAACAAGATGACCAGAATTTAGACCAAGAATTCGTTTTTGTAAGTAACAAAGAAAGAGATCTCAGATTCAGCATAATTAAAGAACAGGTAGAATTTTATGACTGAATTAGAAAGAGAAAAATTAGCATGAAGTCAGTATCCATTTATCTTAATATCTGTACTTGGTGAACCAGCAAGATGGTGATATTATTAAGAGTCTGGAAACTACAGTTTTTGGCAAAAACATGAGCTTTGCTGTTATGAGGGTCTTAAACGTTAAATAGGAAAGAATATCTAATTCATTCCAAGTAATCAAATCATGGCAACCAATTTTAGATATCAGTGCTAATCATAAAGCATTACTAACATTTCTTAGTGATAGTATACATTCTTCTAGGAGATTAAATAATCTTTAGAAAGAATTTTCTTTGTTTTTACTTTATTTTTAAAAATTCAGACTTTTGGACAAGAATTCACTTAACAGCAAATTACAAACGACCATTGAGGGTAGTCCCCAATTTAGCATGTATTTGAGTTAGGATGAACCACACTTACGACTGTCTTCTTTTTTTTTTTGGTACATTTTATTGTTAGTAACGTGCTGCATACAATGTTGCAGCGCATAATTTGCTGCTGTTATAATTCTCAGTTGTTCACTCACAGATATTCAATGTTATTACTGGATTGGCTGAAGTTTTTTCTATACTAAATCAGGGGCTTCAGTCTCTTGGAAAAACGGACCCAAATGCTGATCACTTGGCTAAAGTAGACAGGCAGATCTGGGAAGCAGTGAGGTGTCACAGCGAAATACATGAATTAGAAAAGGAAAGGATTATACAGACAACCCCACTAATCTTCTGTCTAGAAATGCTTTCCCTATTGCCAGGGGTGATCCAGATGATCCAGAACCTTCCACAAGTGAAGTCACTATTGCAACTGACAAAATGTCATGTTTTTCTACTATTTTTCACTGTCGGAGTAAATTTTTATGATTTGTGTGTCTTTTAATGTACGTATGTATGAAAATATATCCGTAAGTTTATATGTAATGCTTCCAACCCCCAAAGACAAATAAAGATAGGATTTAGAAAGATATTGATAATAAAAGGCAATAATGAAAACTTTAAAAAAAAAGGTATTTGACTTACATCAGAATCAACTTACAACTGAGTTGTCGGACCGGAACCCCATCCTAAGTCGGGGACTACCTGTAATTGTATCCCATGACTGATTTTAACACTGAATAGTTACCATGTAATCTGAAGAAGCAATGAACTCCACAGTTGAATTCTGAACTTCTGGTCGTTTATGAGGCTCACCATATGATCGAGTAAGCGGATTATACATAAATTCTTCAGGAACTAGATAAGAATTAGGAATTCAGTATAAATTTAGTAATATAATTTGTAACTAAACACATACACACACACAACACATCCCTAGAAATAAAACACCTCTATCATCAATATTTTTATGAGGTTTATAAAGAGTTCTGTAAACACCTAATGGTAAAAACTAACCCTTTAAACCCTCCTTAAAATACACATCTGTAAGGGTACAAAATTTATTTTCTGAAATCAGGTAAGGAAATCAGGGCCCATGTAACCTTGTTTCTTAGGCTTGTGTCCTATTTATTACACCACATGACATGAAAAAAAATCAGACAGAGAAACACCAATTTGAAAACAATTCTAATAAGGGGACCTAAGAAATGAGTAAAGGAGGCAACAGAGAGACAGGCACACATACACACAAATACACGTGCGCGCACACATGTATGCAAAGGCCTACAGGAGTTGAATGGACCAAATACACAAACAGATGACCATCCTAACTGGTCGAGAGCAAGCGTAAGGAATCTGCATGACCTCACCTGCAAGGCATTCACTGTTTTTTTAAATGAACTTTTTTTTACTTTGCCCTCCCTGTCACTCTCCTCATTGTCAATGACCCCCTTCGCCAGCCAAGATGAATGTCCTCAAACTATATTCTCTTCACTAAAAACAGCATGAAAGTTGTTTTTAAAGCAATGGGGAAAGAAATCAGGTAATGACAAAAATGTCAGAAAATGTTTAAAATAATATCAAAACACAAATCATTTTAAGAATCTGAAACTCACCATCATTAACTCTATAGCACAAATTGCATTTCCATCTACGCTGATCAATGAAGGATACAAAAGGGTTGATATATGTTCGACAAGACCGGCACCTCACAATGGTATTTGATGTTATCACTGGTAATTGCTAGGAAGTAAAAATAACGATGTTGTAGCAAAAAAGAGCGCCCACCCCAGGGTAATTAGAACGCTTCCTGCTTTGCTCCATATGCAGAACAGAAACTATAAACTCTGTTTTTGGATGGTTTGAAATTGAAGCATTTTAAATATCCAGCAATGTTCTGAACAACAGAAACCCTGGTGGTATAGTGGTTAAGAGCTACGGCTGCTAACCAAAAGGCTGGCAGTTCGAATACACCAGGTGCTCCTTGGAAAGCCTGTGGTACAGTTCTACTCTGTCCTTTAGGGTTGCTACGAGTTGGAATCGACTCGACGGCAACGGGTTTTTGTTTTTGTTTTTCTGGTGCTGAACAACACAAGTAGCTATCAAATTTTCTCCCTCTCTCATCACAAACCATAAGATATCACTAAAATAAAGTTGTACCAAATGCAATAAAAGTTACTGACTGACAAGAAGCGCTTGGTTGGCCAAGAAAATAACATAAGTCAAAGCTCATCAGCTAGACTCAAGAAATAATGGTGAGAAAGAAATATTAACCTTCGAGTATAAAAATACCTTTGTCTTTTCTGACTGACTGCAACTGGTGTTAGACTCTCAGGCACTGCTCATTAGACAGCCAGAACAGGCCTGATGGGAACTGAGGCCCAAAAACACCAAACAGAAGGTATCTTTTAAGAAAATACATCTCTTTATGCTTAGTTTGGAAAAACAACTTTATTTTCAGTGTAGAAAATTTAGAAGATATGAAAAAAGATTAAGAAATCACATATTATTCTATCTCCCTAAGTTAACCCCTGTTAATATTTAGTATACAGCCTTCTGACTTTTTTTTCTATCGACATATACACATATATTTGTGTTTAATTTTTTTCACATATACTACTTTTATTACATAAGTAACTACGTATCAGTTGTGAAAAATCAGGAAATACAGTTAAATGAAACGGAAAAAAAAAAAATCACCCAGAATTCTATATTCCAGAGGAAGCCACTGTAACAATTTAGAGTATGTACGACTTCCAGAATGCATCATACACGCAATCTGTGTTTGGGGGTGGGGGGGGCTCACCTATGTATATAGAAAAGTAATCACCTTGATTTAAAGGTTATAACAGTAATTATAGGTGATCAAATAATATTTACTGAAAAATTCATGGTACTTATCACATATTATAATTATTTTCTATTCATTTTGATATTTTCTATGCTCCCTAGTAAGAAAGTAAGCTCGATGAGGAAGCTTATTAACCTTTGTATCCTCACCATCTAGCATGACAGGTGATCAATAAATACTTGTTGAATAGGTGAGCAAAAGAAACTCAGCAGCAGCAGCAGGACGGGTAGAAAACTACACGGGTAAAAAAGTGTGACGGAAAATGCAACTTACGAAGTATAAATAAAATATCTCTGGAAAAAAACTTTTCTGAAAAATTTAGTTTAAATAGAATGCATTTGTATGAAATACCAAAAGAATGTATTAAAAACTAGCAAGCTGGGTATTAAACCAAAGAGACCATGAAAACTTCAACAAGTAATGTTTTAAGGTCCCTGGGAGGTGCAAACAATTTGCACTCGGCTGATAGCCAAAAGGTTGTCGGTTCGAACCCACCCAGCAGCACCAAGGAAGAAAAAGGCCTGGCGATCTGCTTCCGTAAAGATTATAGCCAAGAAAACTCTATGGAGCAGTTCTACTCTGTTACAGATGCAGTCTCCTAAGTCAATCAGCAACAAAAAAAAGTAATGTTTTAAGTCAACAGACTTGAAGCATTTGCATTTTCCCTGTTATTACAAAGGTTATTTGTTTACTATCATTAAGAACAACCATACAGTTTTTCTCCTAGGACTCCTAAAGCTGATCTACCCACTATGGGCTTTCCAACTGCCAAAAGTACTAGATTTTCAATATACAGCTCAGGCCTCATCTTTTGTAGAAAATGGTTTCTACTGTACCCAGAGGAAATCACTCCCCAGGCTGTACTCACTACCTAAGCACCTCACAGAATTGGACCAATTACGTGTATTAATTATCCTATACACTTGTTTTTATATCTTTGTCCCCTGTTAAATAAGAACCTCTTAGGGGCAACGCCAATGACTTAGATTATTTCTGAACCACCAGTGCATGGTTCAGGGCCTGTCATAAAGAAGGTAGCTCAGAAAATGTTTGCTGAATTGAACTGGACAGAAATTATTATTTCTTACATCAAACAAAAGAGGGAAGATGACAAAAATTCTAAGAAAATATGCAGTCTAATGTATTTTGCACATAAGTACACGTCAGCACTCACAAATATTTAAAAACATGTTACTTTACCGTTAAGTCTCTGAAGGGATGTAACAACAATCCTAAAGGAAGTTTAGCTTTGTTCAGTAAAGCCTGTGTCTGTGGAATATTTGTCAAAGTACACCGAAATGAACTGCAAAAAACATAAATAACACAGACTAACATTAGCTATCAGAAAAAAACAAAACACTGAAGCAGGTATGAGTTGTAGGTAATTAAGAACAATTAAGGGCGTAAGGGAAAATCACTTGGGTATGTTAACCAGGAAGGCCCTGATTCCTTCAAGCAGGCAGGTGTCATAAATTTCAAAAGACGTAAATGAAGGACACATCATTTTCATGGTAGAAAACTACAACATATTCAAAAAGAAACAATTACGCCATTATAACTACCATGTAAGGCATGACTGGGAGTGAGCAGAAAACACAAGTGAAAAGGCATATCTCTGCATCTTTAATGATACTGTTCTTGCTTTACTGCCCTATATTCATCTGCTGAAATCTCACTATGAGACTCCAAGTGACCTCTTCTGAAACCAGCCTCACTCCTGACTCCCCTCCGTTCTCTGAGATCTAGTTATGCCTCTGTGCTATCCATTACAGTCTCATTTCCTTTAGCTGGCTGTGTACCTTGCCTGTCTTCTACATTTGAGATCCGAGATCATTTTGTCTTTGTGTCACCCTAGTCTATTCCTCTCATAGAGTAAGTGCTCAATAAATATTTTGTATTAAGATCACTAGACAAAGAATCAATAAAGAAGCAACCAAGGAGGTAAGAAGAAGTATCATGGAAATCAGAAAAGGAATTTAAAGAAGAGTGGTTAATATTATACAGAGATATCTAGGATCCTAGGAATTTGGGGGAAAAAAGAAAGAAGACAATGAATGAATTTGGTAATAAGGAACTCAAAGATGACCTTTAAGAAATTCTGTAGAGTACTGAGGGCTGAAATCTCATTCCAGGGGCAGGGATTAGGGATAAGAATAGAAAGTAGTAAGAATAAAGCCACTGCTACCACAATCATTATCACCACCTACCAAACATCTACTATGTGTCAGGTACCTTACCATAAAACACATGACAAAATTCCTGTTCTCTTGCATCCCATATCCAATCCAATAATAAGGCCCACTGCTCTATCTTCAAAATATACCCCCAGAATCCAACCACTTTTCACTACCTCTAACACTGCTGCCATTACTTCTTGCCCAGACCACTGCATTAGCCACTTTGCTGCCAGATACTTATTGACCTGATAGCAGCTTACACTTAGAAGGATGAACAGCTGTTTTGAACCTACGATATATCATACCCTACACTTTTATGGAAGTGATCTCTGCACCACCTTAGGCATTGACAGGGGTGGTAGTGGGGTAGGAGAAAAGAGTGAACTCTCAGAGTGGCTCCACTTTCTATTTCCACTTTCTGTATACTATGTAAGATTTGGGATGAAAACAGGAGTCTGTAGTTTAAAAAAAGCCTTAAGGAAAGGAAAATATTAGTTATAAAAAACATGAATTCTCCTAACGTAAAGAGGACAATGCTGTGAATCAGAGCTTACTTTATGAGGGAAGAGAGATTCCAGGAGCAGGAAAACATCTTCTAAAAAGCAACTGGGTCCAAAGAAATATCTTATTCTTAGGGAACAGAAGTACTAAAAGCAGGCAAGAATAAAGAACACTTGGTTCTAGAGGCACTGTGAGGTGAGTACCAGAGCTCATCCACCCAGAGGGTACCCCAGGGCTTGGTGACCATCAGATGCAGGATGCCAACTAAACTTCTCCATGAGATGAGGAAACATTCGGTAAAAGGAAATCCAAATCAAAACTCAGGTTAGATAAATAGGTCTGGGGATTATCAGTCTTCACATTCTATACTGAGTGGGAAAAGAAAATCCAGAGATAAGCCACTTACCTAAGCATGCTTGTGGGATTATGTAAGTGAGGTTTGTGTCATTATCATGCAAAGACTGAGGGGAAAAAAATCTAAAGACTCTATTTTATTTAAAAGACATCAGAAGTTATTAATGGTGAACGGTGAGGGAAAGAGATTTATAAAAAAAAAAAAGAAAAATATATATATAGCTAATTCTGGGTTCCTGAAATCCTTCACTCAAATAGAAAAAAACTTCCTACCACTCGGTGGTGGAGGCATTGGACTAGATGGAGGTAGAGCTGGGGACAGGAAAAGATGACCTATATGGAATTTTACATCTAGAATTTCCATACAAAGTAAAAGAGAAAAGTCTGTATTAACAAAGCTTCCTATCAGGAAATTAACAGCATACTACATATTTCTGAAAGTCATACAATGTTTTCTTCCAAGTATACTACTTAAAAAGGATTATAAAATAAATACCTACTCTGGGCTACAATTTAGTTTTCTGAGGTCTACATTCAAATTAGGTACAGGAGCCCAAATAGGAGTCATGGGTAAAATATTCCTCTCCTGAGTGAGGTTTACAGGTCTCAAGCTGTCTGGCTGTGGAGAACTCTGAAGACTCAACCCTCCTAGACTGGAGGACAGCTGGTTCATTCCGGGATACTGCTGAAAGAGCATTTCAAAACAAAACAAAAAAAAGAATATTAAACATGAATAAAATATCATATACATACATATATATATATATACAGGATTTCAACACGTAGAAAAAGGAAGAAGAAAATTTAAATCTGGCTTGGTAATCGGAGGATGACAACATGGAAACTAAATTTAAAGCATGATCGAAAAAACTCAAAGCAAAATACTGAGTAAATTTAAATCTTATTACCAAGGTTAAACAACACAACAAAATTTCAGGAACAATGCTTTGAAGATCAAGATGGTTCCCCTAAAATACAGTTCATACTAGAAAGGCAAGATAAATGCTCAACTGATTTCAAGTTTTTTCAATTATTAGTTTTCAGAATAATGAGCTGATGTCACAGAAATGTCCCACGATGTCCAATGAATTTTGTTTTCTTTTTTTCTCTAACCTACTTTTTAAATTGTGGTAAAAGATACACACCAAGTTTTCCATTTTAATAATTTATATAATTTAGGGAGCCCTAGTGGCGCACTGGTTAAGAGCTCAGCTGCTAACCAAAAGGTCGGCAATTCGAATCTACCAGACGCTCCTTGGAAACCCTGTGGGGCAGTTCTACTCTGTCCTATAGCGTCCCTATGAGTTGGAATCAGCTCGACAGCAACGGGTTTGGTTTTTAGGTATACAATTCAGTGGCATTAATTACATTCACAATGTTTTGCAGCCATAATCTAATCTACTTTCTGATATGAATTTGCCTATTCTGATATTTCATATAAGGAGAATCATACATTTGTTCTTTTGTGTCTAGCTTATATCACTTAGCAAAATTTTTCAAGGTTCATTCAGTGTCATACGATGTATCAGAACTTCCTTTTTATGGCTAATATTTCATTGTATAGCTATACCACATTTTGTTTACTCACTGATCTGTTGACTGACACTTGTATTGTCTCCACCTTTTGGCTACTGTGAATAATGCTACAATGAACATTCAAGTGCATGTATCTGTTTGAGTCCCTGTTTTCAATTCTTCTGGGTATATACTTAGGAATAGAATTGCTGGATCATATGATAATTCTGAGTAAGGTTTTGAGGTACCATTAAATTGTTTTCCACAGCACTTGCTCCATTTTACATTCCACCAGCAATGCATGGAGTTTCCAACTGCTCTACATCCTTGCCAACACTTGTTATTCTCCATTTTTTAAAAAAATACAGTCATCCTAGTAGGTGTGAACTGATATCTCATTGTGGTTTTGATTTACATTTCCTTAATGACTAATGATGTTGAGCAACTTTTCATACGCTTACTGTCCATTTGTACATCTTCTTTGGAGAAACGTCTATTCAAGTCCTTTGCTCATTTTTAAATTATTTGTCTTTTTGTTGATGAGTCATAGTTCTTTATATGTTCTGGACAGTAAACCCTTATCAGATATATAATTTATAAATATTTTCTCCCATTCTGTCAGTTATCTTTTCACTTTCTTGATAATGTCCACTGATGCACAAAAGTTTTTATTTTGATGAAGTCCAATTTATCGATTTTTACTTTTGTAAAAGAAGGCCATCTCAAGAACAGATTAAACCAAAGATCAGATGAGTTGTGGAATGACATCAAGGACATCATACACGAAGAAAGTAAGAGGTCATTACAAAGACAGGAAAGAAAGAAAAGACTAAAATGGATGTCAGAAGAGACTCCGAAAGTTGCTCTTGAACACAGAGTAGCTAAAGTGAAAGGAAGAAATGATGAGGTCAAAGAGCTGAACAGAAGCTTTCAAAGGGCAGCTCGAGAAGACAAAGTTGCAGTGTTGAAAGATTCTATGAGGAAAATATTAAATGATGCAGGACGCATCAAAAGTAGACGGAAGGAATACACAGGGTCACTGTACCAAAAAAAACTGGTCGACGTTCAACCATTTCAGGAGGTAGCATATGATCAAGAACAGTACTGAAGGAAGAGGTCAAAGCTGCACTGAAGGCAATGGTGAGAAACAAGCCTCCGGGAATTGACAGAATACCAACTGAGATGTTTCAACAAACGGATGTAGCGCTCTAAGTGCTCACTTATCTGTGCTAAGAAATTTGGAAGACAGCTACTACCTGGCCAACCAACCAGAAGAGATCCATATTTGTACTATTCCAAAGAAAGGTGATCCAACAGTATGTGGAAATTGTCAAACAATATCAAAAATATAACATACAAGTAAAATTTTGCTAAAGATAATTCAAAAGCAGCTGCAGCAGTACATCAACAGAGAACTGCCAGAAATTCAAGCCCGACTCAAAAGAGGACGTGGAACAAGGGATATCACTGCTGATGTCAGATGGATCATGGCTGAAGGCAGAGAATACCAGAAGGATGTTTACCTGTGTTTTATTGACTATGCAAAGGCATTCGACTGGGTGTATCGTAACAAATTATGGATAACATTGCAAAGAATGGGAATTCTAGAACACTTAATTATGCTCATGAGGAACCTCTACTTAGACCAAGAAGCAGTTGTTTGAACAGAACAAGGGGATACTGCATGGTTTAACAAACGTGTGTGCCAGAGGGTTGTATCCTTTCACCATACTCATTATGCTGAGCAAATTATCCAAGAAGCTGGACTACGCGAAGAACGCAGCATCACGATTGGCAGAAGACTCATTAACAACCTGTGATATGCCAATGACACAATCTTCCCTGCTGAATGTGAGGAGGACTTGAAGCACCTACTGATGAAGGTCAAAGACCACAGCCTTCAGTATGGATTACACTTCAACATAAAGAAAACAAAAATTCTCACAACTGGACCAATAAACAACATCACGATAAATGGAGAAAAGATTGAAGTTGTCAAAGACTTCATTTTACTTGGATCCACAGTCAACGTCCATGGAAGCAGCAGTCAAGAAATCAAACGATGTATTGCATTGGGCAAATCTGCTGCAAAAGACCTTTTCAAAGTGTTAAAAAGCAAAGATGTCACTTTAAGGACTAAGATGTGCCTGACCCAAGCCATGTGTTTTCAATTGCCTCATATGCATGTGGACAATACATAAGGAAGACCAAAGAAGAACTGATGCCTTTGAATTATGGTGTTGGCGAAGAACACCGACTACCAGAAGAACTAACAAATGTTTTGGAAGAAGTGCAGCCAGAATGCTCATTACAAGCAAGAATGGATAGATTACATCTCACATACTTTGGACATGTTATCAGGAGGGACCAGTCCCTGGAGAAGGACATCGTGCTTGGTAAAGTAGAGGGTCAGTGAAAAAGAGGAAGCCCGTCAACGAGATGGACTGACACAATGGCTGCAACAATGGGCTCAAGCATAACAATGACGGTGAGGATGGCGCAGGACCAGGCAGTGTTTCCTTCTGTTGTACATATAGGGTCGCTATCAACCAGAAATGACTCAATGGCACCTGACAAAACTTTCGTTTTTCATAGTTTTGGTGTCATATTTAAGATTCCATTGCAAATCCAAAACCAGTTAAAAAACACCAAACCCGCTGCCGTCGAGTCGATTCCGCCAAGGTCCTAAATATTCACTACTACGTTTGTTTGTTTGTTGTTTTTAGCTGTATGGTTTCTAGGAATTTGTCCATTTCATCTAGCTTATTTAGTTTACTGGCATATAATTGTTCATAGCATTCTCTTATGATCATTTTATTTTGGAAGGTTGGAAGTAATGGTTTCACTTTCATTTTTTGTTTTAGTTATTTGTACCTTCTCTCTTTCTTTCTTGTCAAGTTAGCCTTCCTTTTCCTTGCCTACCACATTCAGTCCATCAGCATGTGGATATCCCCTGTGCATCCACTTTTTACTGCGTCCACTGATACCAACTCAATAAAACACACAACCATCCATTTCCAGGATAACGGCAAAACTTCAATTTGTCCTCCTGCTTTTATTTTTGTCTTTTAAATCTCAACCCTTATCCATTCTTCAAACAGCAGTCAGAACAATCCTCTTACATAAAATCTTAAATGTCTGTCTCCCCTTTGCACTTGGGATAAAATCTGAGCTTCTGACTATGGTGCCTGTCTAGCTTTCTAATCTCATCCTTATTACTTTTCTCATGGTTAGATGAGTTCAAGTCACATGGGGACTTTTTTCCTGAAACTTGACAAACTTTCAAACTTGCTTCTGACTTAAGTCTTTGCACGTATGTTCTTTTAGCCTGAAATGCTCTACGCCCAGATTTTTCCATGCCTGGCTTTTTCTTGGCACATTGGACTACACTAAGTACAAGACTTAAAGGCATTTCAATTTTATTAGAGAAGGCTGCTTAAAGCTAAGAAAGTAAAATCTATTCATCCTAACTAAGACTTCAAAAACATATGGTTTGTTTTAAAACCAGCCTGACAGGTAATGCTAATCTTAGGTGAAAATCTACAATCTTTTTTTAATAGATAGGTAAGAATGAAAATGGAGGCCCAAGCTATGTGATTAAATCATTATTGCTCACCGACCCTGGAAAATTAGCATTCTAAAACTATTTTGAATTCTGACTAGACAATAATAAATCACTGCTTTGTAACCTTCCTGAAGGGATACATATATCAAACCTGACTTTGATTTTCTCCTGCACAAGTTCCTAACAGTCAAAATTCCAAGTGTTGACAAGGATGTAACCCAGCTGGAACTCTCACACACTGCTAATGGGAGGAATAAATCAGAACATCCACTTTGGAAACTGTTCGGCAGGAACTGCTAAATTTGAGCATATGGATACCCATGACCCAGCAATTCCATTCCTACATGCACATGCTCACTAAAAGATATGCACAAAAATGTTCACAGCAGCACTACTCATAATAGCCCCAAACTGGGATCACTCAAACGCCCATCAACAACAGAACAAATAAATAAAATTGCGTATATTCACAAAATGCAGTATGTAACAATAAGAATGAATAAATTACAACCATATAATAAGAATAATGTTGAGCAAAAAGGAGCCGGACACAAAAAAATACATAAATTATGGTTCCACTTATATGAAGTTTAAAAGTAGGCAAAACTAATCTATGGTATTAGAAGTCAGGATAGTGGTTATTCATGTTTGGGGGTGGGAGGGGATTAGTGACTAAAAGAGGCACGAGATAGGCTCTGGTCGCTTTTAAGTGAGTGTGTTAAATTTACAGAAATTCGTCAAATTGCTTGCAATTGATTTGTATACTTTTTTAACATAATATATGTTATATTTCAATAATTTAAAAAAATGGAAGGGTGGGAGTGGATGATCACTAACAGTCTACTTCTAAATACTTTGATTTTATGATGCTTGTTTCAACTGTGATTAATAATCCACATTACTGACACTATCCCCTTTATCAGACTCCTCTGATCCTTGATCTAGGCCTAGAGCACAAAAAGCACTGTAATCACAGAAGAATAAGATGAAGTTAGATAAAAAAAATTTGCAATTTGAATATTAATTTTTAGTTTTATTCCCAAGGCCAATCTCTTAACTTTTCCAAAATAATCTCCCAAATAAAATAGAAAAGGAACAGTAATTCCCATTTTCTTATGTAGTGTCGGCAAACTTTCTCTGTAAAGGGTCAGTTAGTAAATATTTTAAAGCTTGGTGAGTCACACTGCCTCTGTTGCAACTACACAACTCTACCATGCTAGTGCAAAAGCAGCCACAGACAATACATAAAAGAATGATGTCGCTATGTTCCAATAAAACTTTATTTACAAAGATAGGCAACAGGCTAGATTTGGCTCAAGGGTCATAATTTGTGGACCCCTGTCCTATGTCATTACGGAAGACCATTATTATTTTAAAATTAATTTTTGTCTCCTTGCCCGACATTTCTAAGAACTAAACCTTTTTTTGAACTTGATTTTCTTCGCATTAAAGAATAGAAATAAATTATATTATGACCCAGAGATAGGAATTTGTCTAAAGCAAAAAACAGATAAGATTAACTTATGAAGTGTTTCATCTTGATCGATGGAGACTCAAGTAAATCAACACAATGGGAGGCATGTTCTAATCAACCACATTACTCCAGCGTCTCTTCCAGTTTTCTTTCTCCCTTCTTCCTTCTGTGCCTTAATTCTAAATTAAATTCCAGAAACAAATGATTTTCCTATTTCCCTCTAATCTTCATTTAGTCCACAATAAGATGAAATTTCTGAAATGTTAGTACAATAACAATTTCTAACAAATTATAAGTAGACTGCTTTTGCCACTTCAATCTCTTCATATTTTACTTTCTTCTCAATAAATATAAATTTAAAATGCTACTCTGTATTATAAAACTGAACTGCACTTATACCAGGTCATTTTCGAAGGAGAAATCAGCTTAGTAATACATAATCTTTAAAAAAACCTAACATTTACTTGGATTTCCTGATTATAAAATTAATACCTGCACATTGCAGAGAATCTGAAAAGTAAAGGTACAATGAAGAAAATAAAAATTACCCCTAATATCCTGACCTAGACTTAATATTGTTAAAAATTGGTATTTATCTTTTTCAAAGTATGAACACAAAAACTGATACTAATTCTAAGTATCTTTGACCTAGGCATCTGTGTTTGTACCTATAATCCATTTGAATCACCAGGGATTTGTCAGAATTGATACTAGTCTCACAATGTTTAGAAATGCAATGTCTTTGCATGACCAAATACGTACTTGAGCATAATGCTGGAACCCAGAATACACTGGGCTACTGGACTGTACTCCAGAATTAAGCGGTGCCGTCGCATTCTGATAACCAGGCTGAAGAGTTGGATAACCATAGCCAAAAGGCTTAGCCATTTTTGTAGGCTGAGGAACAGCAGAAGCCAGAGTTGGAACAGGATCAGGTTCGGGGGCAGGATCGGGAGCGGGACTGCTGGCTGATGAAGAAAGCATATCTAACAAAGGGAAAAACACAGGGCTGTTGTCTAAGAATCATGACTCTATACACCGTTGACTCCTGAATGAGCCAGATAACCTTTCACATTCCCTTTTTTCTTATTTTAATTTTTTATTATGAAAATTTTCAAACACACAAACAGAGAGAACAGAATAATGAACCCACACCTACCCATCACATAGTTTCAATATGCAATTATCGATATTTTGCTGAACTTGTTCTACATGTTGTTCCCACTCCACTCATTTTTACAGGCGTATTTACAAGCAAACTCCATAGTTCATAATTTGCTGACAATTACTTCAGCTGGTATTTCTGATAGATAAAAATCTTATGTATATATGTAGCTAAGACAGTTTTTTTTTTTCCTTTTATTCTCTCAGCAGTAATGGGGCCAAGGGGGGAAAACAAGCAATAAAAAGGTGTCAACTACTCTTTTCTCTAACTTGCCTTTTAGCTGATTCTGTCCTCTATTAAAAAAAAGAAAAGTCCATGGAAAGAACAGCATGTTTCCACAATCCTATTCCAGAAGTCTGCATTATTTGGGAGAGGCAAAACTGTGAGTACAGTACAAAAGATAATGTCTAGAACAGTGTTCTAGCTCCTAGAACAATGTCTGGTATGTAGTAAAAGCCAAATACAATTTATTTCATGAAAGAATAGTCTTCTTTTTTTCTATTTAAATCTTAAAAAAAAAACCCTAAAATTGGTTTTTAGGGATTTTAGGGAGAGAAGAGGAAAATTACTCGCTATTAAAAGTCTCTTAGAAAGAGGAAAAAGATAAAGAGCATTATAACAAAAATAAAATAAAATTTTTTAGGTCTCCCAGAAACAATATTCCCAGTAGTTATATATCACTTAACACTATTATTAAATAAATAAAAGATGCCAGGAAAATATAGTCTGTTAATTATGTATAATAAATTTTCATGTTTGAAAGCAATTCATGGTTAAACAATTGGAACATCAAGCAAACACAAAACAACAAACTACCTGGATAGCTGCCTCCTTCTAGGGCATCATAGCTGTTGGGCATCGGAGAAGCGCTGCTTGTGGTAGAGGAGCTGTCAACACCTAAAAGGAAAACCAAAACATCTACTGAGTTTAAAATGACAGTGTATCTTTGAACAGCCTTTGGCAAATTCGAAAAAGATGTTTTGTTGAACTATGAAAATTCCTGACTTGAATGAACGACTGATGTCTAAAGACATCTTAAAAATCACACATGGATTTCTGTTAATAGAAACAGAGGATGAAAGTGGAACAAATATGAAGCTGATAAGTGGAATAAAGTGCAAAACATATATGAAGACGTCTTAGAGAACAGATATCAAACTATTAAAAGTAGTCAAATACAAACATGAATTTTAGAATGACTGAAATGTTAGTAAGTCACACACCTCATCATTGTATCTACCAAATCTCAAGCTATTAAACGCATTTTCTCAGTATTAGACTACTTTACAATAATTCCATTTTAATGAGTTTTAGAGTACAGTACAGCTGTATAAAACATTCACTAAAGAGGCTTGGGTCGATGCCTAGCACATAACTAAACTTCAGTGTCTCAGTTTATTCATTGTAGAATGGAGATTAAATACTACCTGCCATATTAAATAAGGCAATATAAATAAAAAGCATTCTAATATGTTTAAGTGTTAGACTATAAAATTTATGTGTGTTCATTTAAAAGATTTTTAGTGGCAATTTATGATGCAATTTAGTGACAGGTTACATGGATAGTAGAAAACATACATTCATTACATACATTCATTCATTCGCTCAACAAATATTCTACTGAGAGCCTACAACTGTATGTATATATGCAGAGTATATACTGGTGAATAAAAGAGAAAACGCACGTAGTCCTTCTCTCGTGTTAGAGGTCTTGGTCTCTCACAATATGACAAAATGCCATAATACAGTGGTTATGAGCAGTTTTTGACACCAATACTGCAACTGGGATTTAACTATATTTTAGATTAATGTTCACCTGCAATATAAAAAGGAACAGGTATGCATAATTACCTTCACTAAATAATCTTAGATTTCAATGAGGATGAGGTATATTGACTCAGGGCATAATACCCCTTGCCATCGAGTGGATTCCAACTTACACTGACCCTATAGGACAGAGTAGAACTGCCCCATAGGGTTTCCAAGGCTGGAAATCTTTAAGGAAGCAGACTGCCACGTCTTTCTCCCACGGAGTGGCTGGTGGGTTCGAACTGCCAATCTTTCAATTAGCAGCTGAGCACTGCACCACTGCGCAGGGGCTCCTTAAAGGCAAAATAGATAAAGTTATTTGCATAGCAACATTTTACTATCAGCAAAGAACATGATTTGGAGACAAAAGACCGGAGTTAAATCAAGCTCTGCCAGTTACTTGCTATATTACTTTGTGTGAGTTACAATCATCGATATATACTGCAAAACCGAGAATAGAGAAACTACCCTGTGTGTGCTTTTTAATGTTTTTGTGAGGTTTAAATGAGAGAGTGGAAATGAAGCAACTTATAAAGACAGCTATAAAATAAATCATAGGTGGAGGATAGTAATTTACTAAGCATCTTCTTTTTGATAACCAGAAAACTTGTTATATATACATGCCACTACACTTAATTAAGAATAGGAAGTAATGGCTCTTCCTTTTTGTTCCTTATATTTGTGAATTTATAACTAAAGCAGAATGTTGATATATAAGATCAAAAGCCTTGGGAGTAACAGTATTAAAAACAATATACCAAAACCCAAATCTCCATCAACAAATGACTAAAGTATTTTATATACATACAATGGAAGATTATTCAGCTATGAAAAGGAATGAAATGCTGATATATGCTACAGTGTGAATGAACCTTGAAAACATTATGCTAAGTTAGAAGCTAGACACAAAGGTCACATATTGCATGATTTCATTTACACGGAATATCCAGAAGAGGTAATTCATAGAGACAGAAAGCAGACTGGTGGTTACCAGAGGATGGAGGTAGGGAAATAGTACGAGTTTTCTCTTAGGGTGATGAAAATGTTTTGGAACTAGATAAAGGTGGTAGTTGTATAACACTGAATGTATTAAATGTCACTGATTGTACACTTCAAAGTGGTTAATTTTATGTGAATTTCACCTCAATTAGAATATTCTTTTCAACAAATGGCACTGGAGGAACTACATCCACATGCAAAAGAATGAATTTGGACCCCTTCCTTACACCTTAACACAAAAATGAACTCAAAATGGATCACAGACCTAAATTTAAGAGCTTAAATTATAAAATTCTTGGGGGAAAAAAAAATGGAGTAAATCTTATGACCTTGGGTTAGGCAATGGATTATTAGATAGCACACCAAAAGCACAAGCAACAAAAGAAAATAAATAAATTGGACTTCATTACATTAAAAACTTTTGTGCAGCAAATTATACCATCCAGCGAGTGATGACAACCTATAGAATGGGAGAAATATTTGCAAATCATATATCTGATAAGGGTCCAGTACCCAGAATCTATAAAGAATGCTAATAACTCAATAGTAAAAAGACAAACAGCCAAATAAAAATGGACAAAGGATTTGAACAGGCATTTCTCCAAAGAAGATATACAAATGGCCAATAAGCACATGAACAGATGATCAATGTCATTAGTCATTAGAGAAACAGAAATCAAAACAGAAAGAGACATCACTTTACACCCACCTGGATGTTTATAGTAAAAAAGACAGTGTCATGGTTTGAATTATGTCCCCCAAAAAATGTGTGTATCAATTTGGCTAGGCCATGATTCCTGGTACTGTGTGATTTTCCTGTATGTTGTAAACCTGCCTCTATGATGTTAATGAGGGAGGATGGGTGGCAGTTGGTTAGTAAGGCAGGACTGGATCTACAAGACTGGATTGTGTCCTGAGGCAATCTCTTGAGATATACAAGACAGAAGTGAGCAGAGAGACAGGGGGACCTCATACCATCAAGAAAGCAGTGCCGGGAGCAGAGCGGGCCCTTTGGACCAGGGTCCCTGCACAGAGAAGCTCTAGTCTGGGGGAACACTGAAGAGAAGAAGGCCGAGAGAGAGAAAGCCTTCCCCTGGAGCTGACACCTTGAATTTGGACTTTTAGCCTACTTTACAGTAAGAAAATAAACTTCTCTTCGTTAAAACCATCCACTTGTGGTATTTCTGTTATGGCAGCACTAGATGACTAAGACGGACAGACAGTAGAAAGTGTTGGCAGGATGCAGAGAAATCAGTACCCTCAAGGGATTGTAAGATTGTGTAGCCATTTTGCAAAACAGTTTGGCAGTTCCTCAGAAGGTTAAACATAAAAGTTACCATATGAACCATCAATTCCTATCCTATTCAAGAGAAATGAAAACATACACTCACACAAAGACTTATACATGAATGTTCATAGCAGCATTATTCATAATAGCCTCACAGTGGAAGCAAGCCTAAATGTCTGTTAACTAAAGAGTGAGTAAATAAAATGTGTACATTCATACCACCCAACCCCCAAATCCATTGCTGGCTAGTGGATTCCAATTCATAGCGACCCTAAAGGACAGAGTAGAACTGCCCCATAGGGCTTCCAAGGCTGTAATCTTTACAGAAGCAGACTGCCACGTCTTTCTTCTGCGGAGCAGCTGGTGGGTTCGAAATGTCAACCTTTCAGCTCCCAGCCAAGAGCTTAGCCACTGCACCACCAGTGCCCCTTATATTCATACAATGGAATCTGATTAGTCAATAAAAAGAACTCATACATACTACATCATGAATGGACCTTGAAAATGTTATGCTAACAGAAAGAAGCCAGTCACAAAATACCCGACATATTCTGATTCTATTTATATGACATGTCCAGAATAGGTGCTTCTGTACAGATGGAAAGTGTATTAGTGGTTGCCTAGAGCTGTTTGGAGGAGGCTTGGTGGCGCAGTGGTTAAGCACTTGGCTGCTAACCAAAAGGTTGGTAGTTGGAACCCACCAGCCACTTCACAGGAAAAAGATGTGGTGATCTGCTTCTGTAAACATTACAGCCTTGGAAGTCCTGTGGGGCAGTTCTACTCTGACCTACACGGGCACTATGAGTCGGAATCGACTTGACAGCAACAAGGTTTAGAGCTGTTTGGGGGAGATGGGGTGTGCGTGGGAAATGACTGCTAAAAAGCACAGGGTGTCTATTTTGGGGTGATGAAAATAATAGTGATATTTGTACAACTTAGGTGAACAATATCTCAATTAAAGAACACATCTCAAAAAAGTTGTTATAAAAAACATCACATTCTTTCTGATCAAGAGTTTTTAAAAGTAAATATCAGGAAATAGAGAATTATTGAAAAAAAAAATAAAATCCAAAGATAAAAAATTACTAACATATATCAAATTATTTCAAAGAATATATCACTACTTGATGATTATGCTACTTAGCTTTTTTTATGTTGAATCAAATGTTAATATTTAAAACATTGCCCTTTTAAAAAATTTTTATTGTTTTACTTTAAGTTAAAGTTTATAATTCAAGTTAGTCTCTCATACAAAAATTTATACATACACTGTTTTGTGACCCTAACTGCTCTCCCTATACTGTGAAAGCACACTCCTCCTTTCCACCCGATTTCCCGAGTCCATTCAACCAGCTCCTGACCCTCTCTGCCTTCTCATCTCGCTTCTGGACAGGAGCTGCCATTTAGTCTCAAGTATCTACTTGAGCTAAGCAGCACACTCTTCGTGAGTATCATTTTATGTCCCATAGTCCAGTCTAATCTTTGTCTGAGGAGTGGGCCTCAGGAATTGTTTTAGTACCAGGTTGACAGAATCTGGGGGCCATGCTTACTGGGGTTCCTCCAGTCTCAGTCAGACGATTAAGTCTGGTCTTTTTACTAGAATTTGAGTTCTGTACCCTACTTTTCTTCTGCTCCATCAAGGACTCTGTTGAGTTCCCTGTTAGGGTGGTCACTGGTGGTAGCCGAGCACCATCTAGTTCTTCTGGTCTCAGGCTGATGCACTCTCTGGTTTATGTGGCCCTTTCTGTCTATTGGGCTAATACTTTCCTTGTGTCTTTGGTGTTCTTCATTCTCCTTTACT